ACAGCGATGATTGATAAAGAGGTATGGCTTTAACATACAGGACGGTGTTTGTTTATTTGTCAGGATTGATTGTAATCTGCTGCTGGTCTGGATGAGTAGTTCTGACCCTGTTGCCCTGCTCATTCAGGCACTTAACACTGTTTACCCTTTGTGGGGGGTGGGGTGTAGGATCTGTGCTTGTGTAAGGTCTGTGAGCTGAATGCACGCTGGTTAAGCTCATTATCATGTATTGCATCAGATGGGGCTCAGCTGTTTTCTTTGGACAAGAAAAGACAGGAGAATGGCACTTTGCGGAATCTTCCAAACCCAGAGCTTACACTGTTGAGAGCTTTCAGTTGGGATGTGTCCATTCATCGGGCACCTGACTGGCTCGATTCAGAAAAGAGACATCTTAAGGCTGACAGTTCTTTGTGAGTGTATTCGTGCTCACGTGAGTGTGCACTCGAGGCTAGCATTCAACATCGGATGTCTTCCTTGATTGCTTTCAGCTTTATTTCCTCTGAGACAGGATCTCTTACTGAGCCTGGAGCTTGCCGATTCTGCTAGACTGACTGCACCTTCCCAGCACTGGAATCACAGGCCTGCGCTGCTGTATCAGCTTGTACATGGGGAATGGGAATCTGAACTCAGGTTCTTATGCTTGTATGGCCAATGAAGCCATCTCCCCAACCCCAAAGCAGACAGTTCTAAGTCTGATATACATCTTCAGGATTACATGGGGGCAATTAAAAATCCTGATGCCTAAGCTGCACTTCATGGGGCTGGTGAGATGGTAAGGACACGTGCCGTCAAGCCTGTGACCTGAGTTCCATCCCTGGGAACCACGTGGTGCTAGGAGAGAACTCACTCCCCCAGGCTGCAGCCCAGATGGATGACATCATCGGAGGCATCAAGGCACTGTTAGTTTTTGAAGCTTCCCCTTCCTCGGTGTCTCTGTGATTCCATGTGGGTCCAAAGATGAGAAGCAGTTCATCTAGGAAGGTGCTGGCCTTCCCTGAGCTGCCCCCAGCCTTCTTTGCAGTGGGCATGGCATGTTTGTAGCTGTTCAGTGACAGATCACTGACGTACAGAGCAGACTGAATGTCAAGGAGCCCTAATGTTGTGATTGGAGTCAACTTGTTTTCCTAGTGTTGTGCATTCCAGGAGTACTCAAGTGTTGAGTGAACTGTCACAGTGTATGTGAATGTGTGTATAAATTTCATAAAAGTTTCTCAAAACTCAAGTTAGGTGCCAAATTTTAACACTGGAAATTATTGTTAGTTGCCTTCGCTGTGGCTTTAAATTTAGTAATAGCTGCCATCAAGCAGAAAGCAACAGGTTCATGTGTCACTTTGCCTTGCTTAGGTATCCTCTTCTCATGTATGTGTGTATGCAGGGGGCTGGAGAGGTGGGAAGCGTTTCGGTTTGGGATGTGCATGTGCACACATAGACATACATGTACTTGTATGTGGAAGGGGGGAGTGTAGTTGGTTGTTTAATTACTCTTTACTCTTAGGGGGGGCTACCACCCCACTCCCAAATAAACACACATGGAGTCTTATTCTTTCTTATAAATGCCCAGCCTTAGCTTGGCTTGTTTCTTGCCAGCTTTTCTTAAATTATCCCATCTATCTTTTGCTTCTGGCGTTTACCTTTCTTTATTTCTGTTTATCTTTTCTTTCCTTCTTATTCGTTGTCTGATTGTGTGGCTGGGTGGCTGGCCCCTTCTTTTCTCTCTCTTTCATCCTCTCCTCCCAGATTTCCCCTCCTGTTTATTCTCTCTGCCTGCCAGCCCCACCTATCCTTTCTCCTGCCTCATTACTGGCCATTCAGCTTGTTATTAGACCAATCAGGTGTTTTAGACAGACAAAGTAACACAGCGTCACAGAATTAATCAAATGCAACACACCTTTGCATCATTAAGCAAATATTCCACAGCATAAACAAATGTAACACCTCTTAAGATAATGTTCCACAAGAGGGAAGTCAATGACGGGCATCTCCTTTCATCACCTTTTGACATCGTTCTTTGAGACGAGGTTTTGCAGTGACCCTGGAGCTCCCCTTGCTCTCTCTGCCCACGACCCAGAAGCTGGCTAACTCTGCTGGCCAGCCAGTGCTGGGGTTCCAGATGTGGGTTACGGTGCCTAGCCAGTGGGTGCTGGGGGCTAAATTCAGCTCCTTGTGTGGTAAGACACAATAACCAACTAAGCTCTCTCCTCAACCCCTCCCTGCCCTTTGTAAAACTATATATATAGTTTTATATATATAATATATATAATATATACACACATAGATATGTATGTATGTATGTATGTATGTATGTATGTATGTATGTATTTATATTTGTTCTCATTTTGCTGCTTCTGCTGAAACCAGGATAGCATTCTCTGTAAGACTTTGAAATAGATTCAAGTACCACAGGACTTTGTAGCATGAATCTTAAAAGTTCTTATTAATAAAATCAAACCTGAGGCCAGTTATTGGGGTGAACACTTGAAGATCAGAGAGACAGAACAAGCCACAGCTATCTCACCTCGCCGGATCCTCAGCTGGTCTTTTCTCCTCAGACTGGAGGCCTCTGAGTCCTCATCCGGAATGGGTCTCAGCTGAATTACTGCTCAAAAGCCTGAATGCTTAACCAGGCCAAATGCTTCTAGTTTCTGGTCCTCACGCCTTATATGCCTTTCTGCTTTCTACCATACCATCACTCCCTAGGAAAGACTATGTAAAGACATACACACAGGAAGTAGCTCTCTTTTGGAGGTAGGAGCACTGCAGGAGGAAGGGTGAGATTTTAGCTCTGAGCTCTGACCTCTGGTTTTCTCTTTTACATTGGTTCTGTGTTTCTTATTTAATAAGACGGTTGGTTACATCTACAGGACTTCATTCTGCACAGCTGGCCTTTGGGGGGTCTGTTGTCATGCAGATTAGGCTGGCTTGCTTTTGAGGTCCTCCTGGGCTGGACTGAGCTGTGTCCCACTGAGATTAGCATTGTCCCACTTCCCTAGGAGCCAGTCTGCCTGAGCTAAGTTTCTGTTGGGTAAAAGGAAAGGATTCATGGGAGTGGGCTGTAGCTTTGGGTAAGTGTGCGCAGCCAAGATGTGGTCATTCACAGGAGGCTACCAAAATGACCCTGAGCAGTTATTGACCAAGATCTGTCTCTAGATCCAGGTCCATTGTGTGCTTTTTATTGAGTATTAATTGTGTCTTAGGCTCCAAGTCGGAGGCTTTATAGACATCCAGTCTTTTTCGTCTTGCACAGGGGGAAACTGAGGCCTATAGGCCTCAAGGGACTTACACAGGGTCTCAGCTGCTAAGTGACATCACCAGCATTGCAATGTTGTCCTCTCTGAAGTCTTTCTGTAAGATGAGACCAAGGCCTGCAAACGAAATGCGTCTGTGTCTGGTCTGAGCTGTGCTGACTCCTGAGGCCAGGCCTCAGATGCTCTTTCTGCCACACATTGCTGTCCCTGGCATCTGCCACACCCAGCTGCTGCCCAGGGAGCACGTAGAGAGGTGTCTCTCCATGTTTGAGTGGCTCAGGAATGGTCAGATATAGCAATTCATTTTCCTTCTCCTCTTCCTCCTCCTCCTCTTCTTCTTTTTTAATTTTTTAAAACAGAGTTTCTCTACACATGGCCTGGCTGTCCTGGAACTTGTTCTGTTTCTGGTCTCAGGCTGGCCTCGAACTCACAGAGATCCGCCTGCCTCTGCTTCCCAAGTGCTGGGATTAAAGGTGTGCGCCACCACCGCCCAGCCAGCAATCAATTTTTTTTTTTATTGCTGTAACAAAATCCTAAAGTGGAGTGTTTTATTTTGAAAACACTTTTTTTTTTAAAGCCATGGTTTTAGAGATCAAAGGCCAGAGACGGTTGGTTGACCCTGTGTGTTCTGTTTCTGGTGAGGGCCCTCTTGACCGGGCCACAACATGGTGGATGTTATCCTGGCATGTGCAAGAGTGAGGACCCATTTTAGAGTGAGGCAGGAAGCCGGAGATGGAGGGTTTGCTATTAGCATTGATCCCTCCAGTGGCCCCATGACCTCTTGACCTCTTGCCCTTGTCCTAGGCCCCATCTCTTAAAGGTTCCGCCCCTCTCACTTCTCTTCACCAAAGGCTTGGCTTCCAGCCGAGGACCCCTTGTGGGGCACACTTAGACCCTGTTGAAGGCACAGCAGATGGCCGGGGGTGAGAAACTTGAGTCTCCATAGCTAGGTTTTGCCCCTGCAAGAGGCAACGTGAAGGGCAAAGAGAGGGCAGGCAGAGGCGGAAGTGATCTTGGGCAGCTGTGTTGGAACCGGGAAGCAGGGTCTTGACGGGCCAGTCAGAGCCTGGAGCCCAAGGGCGGCTGACCTTGTTTCAGGTCTTCCTATGCACTGTCCTGCTCTGCTTCATCTGCTGGTGGGAATCTGCTCGGCTTCACTTTCCTGCCCACTCCTTATCACCCGGCAGCCATTGCGGGATCTGCTTGCCACCGTTTGTACAGGGAAAAGGAGATGCTCCTTGGGATGAGATGGAAATAAAGTGTGAGGCACAGCCCACCCCCTTCAAATAAAAAAACTCAATGACTTTCTTGGGCCAGCCCTGCTAATCATGGGAGAAACATTTAATTTCAACCAGATTACAAAGCGGTTGCTTTTATTTGTTTTTGGCTGGGTTTGTGCCAAGGATTCAACTTTTCCTGTTCATTTTATTAAAAAACTTTATAAACAGCATTAATAAATAGATATAAAACTGCCGTATAAATGACAGAGAGACCAAATGAAATTCACAAGGGTCACTGTTGAATAAGTAACAGAGCCACGTCCTTGTGCGATCAAATTCTCATATATGCAAATGAGATACAGAGCTTTACTACAGTGTTTTAATTAATATTTATAAATCACAGGGTGCCTCGGAAAGGGCCAGTAACCTATTTATATTGCCATCATGTCACACAAATAACAAATCCTCCGGGGACTGCTCGCTGTTTCGCATTTGGTCAGAAAAGTAAGCACGCTGTTGTGTCTGTCTCCCTCAGGTGTGGCGTCAGCGCAGCGACAGGTCACCGTCCAGGAAGGGCCCTTGTACCGCACAGAGGGCTCCCACATCACCATCTGGTGCAACGTGAGTGGCTACCAGGGTCCCTCGGAGCAGAACTTCCAGTGGTCCATCTACCTGCCCTCCGCCCCGCAGCGCGAAGTACAGATTGTTAGCACGGTGGACTCCTCCTTCCCTTACGCCATCTACACCCAGCGAGTCCGAGGTGGGAAGATCTACGTGGAGAGAATCCAGGGGAACTCGGCCTTGCTGCACATCACAGATCTGCAAGCCCGGGATGCTGGGGAGTATGAGTGTCACACCCCCAACACGGATGAGCGCTACTTTGGAAGTTACAGTGCCAAGATGGACCTCGTGGGTAAGGAAGGAGGCGCTGCTCTCGAGGGGCCAGTGTCCGGCCTGAGTCCCCTCTGTTGCCATGTACCTTTACTGCATACCATATGACTGAAAAACAGATTCTTCCCCAAATGTCTTAGAATACATTAGGGAGCATGAGCGAACACGGTTTCTGGGTACACTCGTGAACACTATTTTAAGGCTGACACTTGGGAGAGTTCTCTTGAACGTTAAGAACCTCAGTGGTTAACCTTTTGCTGGTGAAAGGCAATAGGAGTATTTATATACAATAGTGTATATAAAGGCAAGATCTGGGTGTGGTACCTCATGCCTGTAATCCCAGCATCCAGGAGGCCGAGGCAAGGGACTGCCCTGTGGCAAGGACATTTGTGGGCGACAATTTGGAGGCAGGGCTTGGAAGGTAAGGTGGATGAGATCAGCCGGAAGAGAGGCAAAGCCCCTATAAGAGCAAGGCAGAGCTCCCCCCTGCAGAGGCCAGGATGAAGTGGCCAGAGATCCGGCAGGAGGGGCGTCACAGGAGTGCAGCAATGTGTGTGTGTGTCCGGAGAGTTTCTGCTCACTAACCCAGTGAGTTCCAGACGCTCAGAGGGGAGAGGGAACGAAAAGGGAACGGGAGCGTTTGGAGGGATAGTAAGTGATTTTAGTGAACGACCTCAGCGGATGCTCAGACATCAGTACTGGTTCCTGTGGGAAGTGAGTGGATCCCACAGACAGAGTAGCTTGTGACTGAAGCTGCCTACGAGCAGTTGTGTTCCTTAATCTCCCTTCCTGTCGATAGGAGTTTAATTAATAGAAAATCCAGAGAAGAAATAGAAGGTCAGAGCGTCTTCAGCAGGCCTGCCCTTTGGGCAGACAGGCACTGGAACATCGCTGCTTAAAGCATCTACTGCTGTCCAGAGGGTCTTTCTTTAGTGTGAAGTAATCGGCACCACACAGGTGTCCCTGCTTGGGGGTGAAATTCCCTGGACACCATCCCCCAGAAATGATGAGCAAAAAGGACAGGTTTTGAGGTACAGGGAGTGAGTAGGGCTCTGGGTGCCCAGACCTCCTTGGCTGCATGCTAAGAAGCTATGGAGGGCCTCTCTCTCCGGATGTTCTCTCCAGATGTTCTCTGCATGCTGGAGAAGATGCCAGCTGGAAGGGTGGGGAGCATTTCGTGTGGACATCTCTGGCTACCCATTGCCAGTGAGAAAGGACCAAGAACAGGCTGTTCCTGTTTGTGCCCACGTCCTGAGCTCTACCTCTCATTCCCCCAGTTAGGCAGGACGTGTTGGTAGGTCTTTGTCGATAAGGACACTGCTTTGGCTTAGTTTTCATTGCTATAATGAACCTGTATCCTAGTAAGTGGACTTTCCGCCTCAGTCTTGGGACGGGCTCTGGGAGGAAGACGTACCCTTGTTGTGACTGGGGCGCCGTTACCAGGCAGCAGAGGCAGCGGTGTGGGGGTGGCGTTTAATTCTCAGAAAGATAAAAGTCGGAAGAAAACTCCAGTGATGGGACCCAGCAGTGTCTTCGTTTACCTGAGTCCTCTGTGTCCTGTGGCTTCCTTCTGCTGTGGGCCACTTTGATGAATCCTGTGAAGGAACAGGGGAGCAGGCCAGGCCTACTGGTGTCCATTCGTAATCCAGCCGCTTGGAAGGCTGGAAGACCACAAGTTCAAGCCCACCTTGGACAACGTAGTGAGACTTTGTCTCCAAATCCAAGAGCTGGGTCTAGGGTTGTAGCTCAGTAGTAGCGTCTTGCCTGTTACTTATGAAGTCCTAGGTTCTGTCCCCAGGACAGTAGGGGTGAGGATGGTTTTCTCTAGTTCCACTCCCCAGTGTCCTCTGTAAGTGTCCTTCTAAGGACAGTGTACTGATGAGGTGGGATGGAGAGCGGGTCGAGAAGGGAAAAGGGAAGGACTGTATAGGAATGTAAAGCCAGAAGGTCCAGGGCCTGACGTTAAGGTATCTCAGAGCAATACCAAAATGAACAGCAAATCTTATTAGACCTCAGCGATTGTTCTTATATGGTATCCTCAGGGAGTTCTTTGTTGTATACATTTTCAAAATAAAATCCGTCTTTGCTCTGAGTGTCGTTAAAATACCAAGCAGGTGTCAGTGCCAAAAATATTATCTTAGCTATCATAACAGAAAAGTGTATTTAGGTTTCTATGCCTTTCAGGGTTGTCTGTGGCCTTGAATCGATTGTCAGAGCTGCCTTTGTTGAGGCTGTAACAGTGGTTTCTGTGTGGTGTAGGGCCCTAGCCTCCCGGAAGGCGAGTCTCAGATTCTGTAGCCCCGTAACCTTCCTCCGTGGGAACATTTTCTGTTACAGTGATCCCAGATTCCCTGCAGACCACAGCTGTCCCCCAGACTCTGCACAAAGTGGAACAGGACCCCCTGGAGCTCAGCTGTGAAGTGTCCACTGAGAGCGACCAGCACAGCCACCTCTCCGTATCCTGGCTTCGGCGGAAGGGTGGCGAGAAGCCTGTGGAGGTCATAGCCCTGAGCCGCGACTTCATCCTGCACTCCAGCAGCGAATACGCCCAGAGGCAGAGCCTGGGGGAGGTGCGGCTGGACAAGCTGGGGAGGACCACCTTCCGCCTCACCCTCTTCCACCTGCAGCCTTCCGACCAGGGCGAGTTCTACTGCGAGGCTGCCGAGTGGATCCAGGATCCAGATGGCTCTTGGTATGCCATGACCCGGAAGCGCTCCGAGGGTGCTATCGTCAACGTCCAGCCCACCGGTCAGTCTCTCTCTGCTTCTTGTCCTTTACCTGGTAGGGATTCAGACACTAGGAGGGTGTGGGGACACCTTGTTTGGTGACCGTAACAGCAAGTAGGGGTTGGGGTGAGGTTAGAGATGGCTGTAATGTAGGCTGGAGAAACCAACTTCCAGTGAGTCACAGACAGCTGCCCATACTGGGCCCCTGCTCATCATCATGTTTTCTTTACAATATGGTGTCGTACATCATTTTGAATAAGAGATTTATTTTTTAAAAATGAGAGATTTTGGACTGAAGAGATGGCTCAGCCGTTAAGAGCACTGACTGCTCTTCCAGAGGTCCTGAGTTCAATTCCCAGCAACCACATGGTGGCTCACAACCATCTGTAATGAGATCTGGTGCCCTCTTCTGGCCTGCAGACATACATGCAGGCAGAACACTGTATACATAATAAATAATTAAAAAAAGAAAAAGAAAAAGAAAAAGAAAAGAAACTGCAAATAAAAATGAGAGATTTTGAAGAAAAATGTGGCCAGAGAGATGGCTGGTGAGTGACCAAGAGCACTTGTCGCTCTTGTGGTGGACCCAGGTTCAATTCCTTGCTCCCACATGGCGGTTCACAGCTATTGCTAACTTCAGTTCCAGGGGGTCCTTTGCCCCCTTTGATCTCCAAGCACACATGGGATATACATATATACATGCAGCAAGACACTCACATAAAATAAAAAAATTTTAAAAATGAGAGATTTCACAGAAAATCTTTGTATCCTATACCCCTGGGCTCCCATTCCTGTTAGGCGTGGATGCCACCCAGTTTGATGATGTTTCAGTTACTGAGGCAGTGATGGCGGCCTGGCAAGCCACAGTCCTCCACAGTGTCTCCTGGCATCTCCTGAGACCCAGGTTCTCCTCCCGGTTCTTGCACCTGCAGGGCTCCAGTGTAGAACTGACGGCAGTTCTTGGCTGCCTTGGCTGAGCTGGGCCAGGTTCCTACGTGGGCCCGGCTTTGGTTGGAGGGTGCTCATCAAGCTGTCACTGAGGTGGCCCTGCTGAGGGCTGTTGGTCCTGAGGAGGAGAGGAAGTGTCTGTGCTGCAGGTGGTCGCACCCTTGTCAGACCCTGCCTCTTGTCCTTCTTGTCCTGGAGGTCGCTTACCTTGGTCCTTGCATGGGTACTGTGACATTTGAGAGCAATGCTTCCGACTCACCTAATACTAAACTTTCTGACTCATCCCTGGAGTCCCTACTCGGAGACTGCTGGGAGCGGGACTGGGAAGCTACGTTTCTGATGTACTTCCCTGGTCATTCTTACCTGCCTACATTTTGTCTAGCACAGCTCTGGAGGGAACAGGGCTGAGAGGATCCTCTGGACACCTGATGGGTGTGAAAGCAAAAGAAGGTTGGATTCTTGGTGAGAAGGGCACACTTGATCAACACTTAGGACCAGGGCTCTTAGCGGTTTCTGGATCTTCTAATATTAAGTTTACCCAAGAGGCTTTAGTTCCTGTTTATCGTTTTCCTTCCTGGTTGGTGTTAAGATCAGTGTCAAAAAAGTCTGGGCCTAATTTCGAGTCTTAATACTTTTAAATTAGGTTGCATCAGCTAATCTTCTTTATTTTAATCTTACCAATTTAGAATTAGGACATTTTTGAATTTGCCCTGCAAATATATCCAGCCTAAGCCAGCAAAGGAAAATTTTAATGGAAAAAAGAAGTGTTGATAACTTCACTGTGTGTTCCTGTTCAGGCTCAGGAGTTGCAACTCCGGCTTCCAGTCTTTAAAGGCTTCATGTCTATTTTAATAGACGTTAGTATTTACAGCACTGAAGGTGTGGTGTGAGGCGTCTGGGGATGCCAAGGTGAACAGCATTGCTCTGCGCACTTAGGGTGCCGAGTGCTGTGTGAATAGTGAAGGCTGTGTGAGCGCCACGTTTTCCCGGAGAAGACGGCTAGTGTAGCAAACCTGGGAATTCCAGTTCCTCTGGTGACTTGAGCTGCGTCAAGGTTGAGCAGACAGCAGCAGGAAATGCGGGAGGCATAGGTCATTTGGTAGCTGGGTGGCAGAAGAAGGTCAAGTGACCAGATGTTGAGGTCTAGATTGAGCGGTAGGGGAGGAAGAGAGAGAGAGGTGGAGCATGGGCTTGACCCTGTGGACCAGGAGTTGTCAAGCCGTTCTTCTTGGAACTTCAGCGGGTGCTTGGGGGATACCAGAGAGGTGCACCTGGGTGAGTACACTTCCTCACATGGAAGTGTGGGAACCAGCGGGTAAAGCACAAGAACCTGTGTGCTCCTCTCTTGCTTCAGCCAGACGTCTGCCCTATTGAGCAGGAAAAGATTTTACATGATGTAAAAGAGGTCTCCTCCCCTTACACCACTGCAGGAACAGGGCTCTCACAGGCTTGAAGAGTGTGAGGGATGAGTTGGGGATGGCTTAACTCGTCTTCCTGTCCCCTCGCTTGTGTGCCATGAGTGCCTCCTGACACAAGGTGACGCCTCTTGAGTCAACTGTTTGCTGTTTCTTGGAGACTGTGATGCTGTTTGCAGTGATGCTCGTGCCTAGATAGATACCAGCTCTTGGAAGAGTTTCTGCCTTGATCCTTCACCACTTTCAGAGGCGCCTGGCTGTTAGTGGATTTCTTTCCTGCTCTGTCTGCTTAAAGTCATGACCTGGCAGGTTGTAGGCTAGTGCTAAGACAGTCTGTGTGATGAAGCCAGTTTGTCTTGCCCTTATCTAATTTTCAGTGTTCTTATAGTGGTAAGGAGAGGAATCTCAATAAATCCATCTGAGTGTTGATTAGAATTGGGGTCAGCACCTAGACTACGCAAATTTTGTCTCATAGACCTCTGTGAGGTGAGTCTCACAGTAACCGCTGAACAAACAAACATACTTGTAGTCATGTTGCTCTAGCAGAGCTCTGGCCTTTGCCATCTGCCATCTAAGTGAGACTAGGCTTGTCTGCAGGCCCTGGTTTAATCTGGAGCAGCATGCCCCTTGACAGAGCCCTATTGGTCTAGATGGGAATGGCAAACTCCTTAGACCGCCTGGGTTTGGCTGGGACTCTGCTATTTAAGGGTTTATATGGCTGGAGTTGGGTTTTTCTCTCCAAGATGAACACTGAGTCTTCTCTGTGGTTATTGTCATGAAGAAGGTCAGGGGAATAGGGATTTCCTGAAGCAGTTTGGTGGGTTGCAGCCCCATTTGCCCAGATTGCATCCAGTTTGTTTGTGTTCCCAGACAAAGAGTTCACCGTGCGTCTGGAGACAGATAAGAGGCTACACACAGTGGGTGAGCCGGTGGAGTTCAGATGTATCCTAGAGGCTCAGAACATTCCCGACCGGTACTTTGCCGTCTCCTGGGCCTTCAACAGCTCACTCATCGCCACCATGGGGCCTAATGCTGTGCCCGTCCTCAACAGTGAATTTGCCCACCGTGAAGCCAAGGGACAGCTTAAAGTGTCCAAAGAGGGTGACGGTGTCTTTGTGCTGAAGATATACCACCTCCGCCAGGAAGACAGTGGCAAATACAACTGCCGGGTGACAGAGCGAGAGAAGACTGTCACTGGCGAGTTCATTGACAAGGAAAGCAAGCGTCCCAAGAACATCCCCATCGTCGTCCTTCCCCTCAGTAAGTAGAAGCGCGCCACTTACTAGTTCCTGGTGCAGTGGGAGAGAGACTAGCTATAGGAGAAGGGGCAGACTTTGGGATAAAGATGACCAGAGAGAGGGCCTCTCCACCTCCTCCAGCCCCATGTCTACAAAGCGACAGGGGCATGTCTGGGCTGGAGATGGTACCTGCAGCCTTGAGCTCAAGTAGCTCGGTGTACAACACCAGCCTTGCCAGCTCAGCTTGGAGGAAGACCAGGAAGTCATTTGCTCCTCTAGGGGAATTAAATCCCAAAAGAAGTGGGCAGAGGCCTGCCTTGAAATCTCACTTAAGGAGAGCTCATCTCTTAGGGGAGGATTTGGATATCATCAGCTGCATTATTAAGAAGGATTTGCTGTCTGGGTTTTTCCAGGTATCAAGGCAGGTATTTCCCTAATTGTCTCTTTTGTACTGAAATTGCATTGTTAAAAGTCAGTGGGTGATAGAGTACTTGCTAGCATGTACCAAGTGTTAGGTTCCTCTTAATGTGCATATAAAGTGCTCAGTGGATGGGGTCTCTGTCTTCCTGGAGTATGCTTCAAGAGCTTGGCCCTCTCAAGGCTGTTCCAGGGACTCGGCCTCCATGCACACTGACAGTGTCAGGATGGGTGGTACTCTTCTGGGAACTCGAGAGATGAACAGTGTGTGTGCATGCCATGTTTAAATGTCCATAGTGCCAAGACGTCCTTATTAATCTCTTTTCTCTCACAGTTCTGTTCTTAGCAAAAAGTTAATCAAAACTTACACAGCTCTGATTTTAAACAAGATGGTCTAGTTTAAGAACTAACCTTTAACCTTTTCTTAGTTCCCAGGACTGTTCCTCCTCTTCGCCTTGTAACGATTTCCTTTACATTTTTATTTACACGATTATGTATTTGAAATGTTTCTCTGTTAAGTGTGAAGTCCAAAATAGAGGAGGCCTGTCACCCTTTCTTTTTTTGTCAACGGGATTGTTTTCTGTCCTGCTCGTTGTACTTTGCGCACACACACACACACACACACACACACACACACACACACACACACACGTACGTAACCTTGAACTCTCGTGCTTTCCTCGCGATGCATGATGCTTTGCATAGATTTAGGTGCTTGCTAAACACACGTACAGTTGAAACTTCCAGATTGAATGCCCACACTCTTTGTCCTGTCTTCCTGTGCCTGCCCTAACCACAGACTCTAAACTTTTAAACTAATCTCTCATTGTTTCGTAAGGACGGCATGAAGGGCAGCCACACTGTTGGCTTCCTCTATCTTTTGTACTAAAAGATTTCCCCCAGCCCTTCCAAGAACTTGTTTGATGATCTGTGGCCTGCTATATTGCTTTTCCAGCAGATAACTGGGTAGTTAAAGTCCCCCAGCAGCACCAGATCCTGCCCCAAGGCCACTTGGGTAAGTCTACTGAAGAATAACAATCAATCGGTAATGGTGATAATGCCCTGGATTTTAATGGCACCTTTCCTCCTAAGAACCCAAAGTGCTTCTGCATAAATGATCTCCCTGCTCTCAATCCGCCAGTCCCTGTAGAAGCTAGTGTTACATCCATCTTGTGGATGGAGACGTCAGCGCGCACACAGGGAAGTGGCTGATCCGGTTGTTCAGTTGGTGGTTGACTTGCAATTGCAATAGGAACATTTGCTCTAACTCCAAACCCGCTGCTCTGCGCTCCGCCTGTGCTCCGCCAGCAGCCTCCTGACTGGAGATTTCATTTGTGAACACACACTCAGATTTTCATTAGTTCCGTCTTGGTTTTCATTCAGCCTGGAGGATTTTTAACTTGTTGGCTACCTTTTTAAAGCCCGGGAACCTGTATAAATAGTTACAATGGGCAGTGCAGCACCAGATCTGTGTTTACCCATGCCCCAGCTATCAGAAGGCTTTTCTTCTATCTAGGTTTTCCAGGCTTTCTCCAAATAGCCACCCAGCATGTCCTTAGAGTCCACTGGGGTGACAGTAGAGCATACGACTGATGTCCTACAGGTCCTTCTTCTGTACAAGACAGACGGAAGGGTTTTTTGTTTTTTTTTTCTTCCTTGACGCTGAAGTTGCCTTTTGCATACCTCACCTTGAGTTGAAAACAGGGAGGAAGAATATTGATGATGACAAATTTAAAGCCCGGGGCTGGAACTCAGCAGTAGAATGCCTGCAGAGCGTCCATGAAACCTTAGGTTCAGCCCTCAGCTCTGCCCCTCCTCCCCATTTCATTCTCTCCGTCATGACCCTGAGTCAGCACCAGGAACATCCCAACTCTGCACATGATAAGTTGAGGCTTGGTAAGAACACCAAGATCCCACACTGAGGCACATGGTAAGTTGAGGCTTGGTAAGAACACCAAGATCCCACAGCGAGGCAGTGCAGCCAAGCTCTGAAGCACTGCCACTGTGGACGATGGCTCTACAGAGCCTTGCCCTGGACAGGCTGTCCTCCTGAAGACTGCTGTCCCACCGTGTCCAGACCTCCTTCCTGTGAAACAAGCCCAGCATACTCTCTGACAAAAGCATCTAGTGCTGAGGCCTGCGGCTCTTCTTTTCTGTTTCTGCCTGTGGGGGAAATGAAGGGGAGAAGAATAAGTGGATCCAAATGCTGCAGTGATCGGGTGTGCTTCTTGATCTGGGATTTGACTTAATTGATCGTCAGTGGTGCCTAGAAAATTGAGTCCAAATTGATTATGACACTGTGTTTTGTGTTGTTTAATTCTTATGAGCTCATTGAGCTCAATACAGGTAATTATACAGAATAATGTATGCATAATTAAGAAAGTGTTAGCCATGCTCTTTATGAAAGCAGAAATATCCCGGAGTATAGTAAAATCAATCATGATTGTGGGTACCACCTTTAAAAAACGTACTGTGTGTGCCGCACAATCTGTATGCATTGTCCTCTTTGCTTTTTCATCTTTTGTAAGTTAAAAATGGTATCTTACAGAGGCAGCAGCTGAGACTTAGAGAGTTTAAATCATCCCCTTGGCTGAGAGCAGCCATCCACAGGAGGGACAGAGGCTAGACCAAGCTAGGCAGGGAGTGGAGTTCTTATCTCCACCGCTGCTTGGCAGACTGTCAGGGTAGAGAGCAGAGGTGCCCCACGGCTGAGTGAGTGAGTGAAGAGGAGAGCGGAAGATGGTGAGCCACGGGCTGTGGCTCCTTCTTCTGTGGGAATGAAAGCATGAAACTTTGCTCTCCACACACGCTGGGAGACTAGACCATCTGTGCCCCATTTTCCACACACACGCACATGCCATCTTCCAAACACTTCCTGACATTTTTTTTCTACTTCCTCATACTTCCCTGAAGGATTCACTAAGAATGTTTGTAGCTTTTGTTTGACTGCTGTAGCTCCAAGTGGTGGGAGATTGAGGGGCCGTAGGATTCGGAAGTTACTCCTCACGACGAAACTCCAAGCCAACAGCCCTGAACTGCATCTGAACAGGTCACCCATAAATAATTTTATGCTATCAACGTCCTGTCACTGTATTCTATTTCTCAGGTTCTGGTTTACTCTTAGGCCTCAGGACCTCATTGTCCCAATCCACTACACCAAGCATAGAGCATTCTAGGCCACCAGATCTAGGCAGCAGTGCCCAGTTTGAACAGCCAGATCTTACAACATGTAAGTTGTGTCTCAAAACAAATCAGAGTGTTTCGAATCCTTGGAGTGTCACTGTCAGAATCGTGGGATTCGGTGTGCACCCTTCTTCCCGCGTCGTCTCTGAGGAGGGCGCCATGGAGACTGTAAACCCCCCAGTGTGGAACTCTCTCTTGTCCCCAGAAAGCAGCATCTCCGTGGAGGTGGCCAGCAACGCCAGCGTCATCCTCGAGGGCGAGGATCTGCACTTCTCCTGTAGTGTCCGCACAGTGGGCAGATTGCAGGGCCGCTTCTCCGTCATCTGGCAGCTCGTGGATCGGCAGAACCGCCGCAGCAACGTCATGTGGCTGGACCGGGATGGCACCGTGCAGCCAGGCTCATCCTACTGGGAGCGCAGCAGCTTTGGGGGCGTCCAGATGGAGCAGGTGCAGCCCAACTCCTTCAGCCTGGGCATCTTCAACAGCAGGAAGGAGGACGAGGGCCAGTACGAGTGCCACGTGACGGAGTGGGTACGGGCCGTGGATGGGGAGTGGCAGATCGTGGGAGAGCGCCGCGCCAGTACCCTCATCTCCATCACAGCTCTTGGTGAGTGAGCAGTGGGACCGTGGCAGATGCGTTTGTGTCCGGCTCCTTCCCTCTTTGTCAGCATTCTGGTTGCAGGGCCTGGGGAGATGCCTCAGTGGTTAAAGTGCGTTCTGTAAGCATGCAGATCTGGAATCCAGGTTCACAGAACCCTGGGAAAATGTGGAGTGGGCTTTGGCATCATGCCTGTAATTCCTGCCTCAGAAGCAGACCTGGGCGCCTTAAAGCAAGCTAACCATTGAGACCACCCATACCAGTGAGCTCTGGGTTTGATTGAGAGACCCTGCCTCTATGAATAAGGTGGAATAACAATTGAGGGTGCCTGACATCAATCTCAGGCCTGTGCGTGCATACATACACACATGCAACCACACACAAACATGCATATGCTCATATATGCATCGCGTCACACACTCGGCAAAAAGGAAAGCCAGTTCTGATTGGAGATAATGGTGTCTTCTAGAGGGGTTTTGTTGAAAGGACTCTAGGGGAGCATGCTCAGGGTTGAGGAAACTTAACAGTTGATGGTGGGTGGGGCATCTGGGGTTAGTGACCCCCTTGGGCTGTTACCACCCCTGGGGCTGGGTGGTGTCAAGATTCTAGCCAGATTAGTGCTACCAACTAGCAGGACATGGCTGTGGTAAAACTGGCCTGAAAGGGAAGAGTGACTGGGTGGAGAGATAAGTGTCTCCTGTCCACGGGGGGTCTTGCCCAGCTGCTCACAGTCCAGCCCCCCAAAAGTGGCTGAACAAGATGGAAAGCCCTTTGCCAGCGATACAACCTCGCCCCGTGTCTGCCCGAGTCTCAGCACCCAGCTCAGTTGTCCCATCTAGGCCTGTGTTTTTATCTCTTCCTCTGTAAAGCCCCACTTAAGAAGAAAACATTTCCGCATTTGCACCGAGTGAAAAGATACCTTGAGATCTGCAGAAACCAAGCAATATTAGATTTGCTTCTCACGGGGTATCCAAAGCGGCTTCTGTCGGTGTTATCTGCCAGATGCAATCGGTCTATCACGTTTTAAAAGACCAGCCTGCTACTTTGCTGGGAAGATAACTTATTTTGTCAGGCCTTCTGTTTATCAGGAGGCTTTGTCTGTCCCCATTCTCGAGGACTGTGTCACCACCACCTTCCCTGAGGTAAGGCTGGTGGTGCTGTCGAGCACCCAGTAAAGATGGCCGCGCAGGGTAGAGCTGACTATGACCAAGTCCTTGTTCTCCCTGCTGAGATTAGCCACACCTTTGCTTTATTCTTAAATGTCTGTTTTCAATCGTCTGGTGATAAAACGTCTTCTATTTGATGTTTAACGCCCCCCCCCCCCATGCCAGGGCTTCCCTCCAGCTGCCTCACAAAGCGGGAGGCCACATGCCACAGTTCTAGGAATCCTGGAGCTTTTCAGGGTAACAAGGTGTCTTCCCCAAGCAAGACATGCAGTAAAAAAGAAAGAAAGGGAGGGAGGGAGGGAGGGAGGGAGGAAGGAAGGAAGGAAGGAAGGAAGGAAGGAAGGAAGGAAGGAAGGAAGGAAGAAAGAAGAAAGACGCAAACAGGGAAACAGTAAGATGCTCCAGACCCCTGGCGTTCCCTGGTGCCTGTTTGGTTAGGCCGGCTTGCTGTCTAGGACTTGGAACGGACACAGCATCATGGAAAGCCCAGATGCAGCCTCTGTGTCCTCCCCCACCTCACTGCGATTGCATCTGCTCTCTGAAAGCTTCCTCCCAAAGATGGGCTTGCCTTCTGCAGTCCCCAGGCAGCTCGGATTTCTGTTTCTAGAAACTTCCTCCAGTGATGATCGCAGTTCCTGCTGCCTATGCTTGGCACTGCTGTGAAGCCAGACAGGGGAACTTGGGAGATGGTTCTGGGATCTGCTACATGTAATTTTTCCTCACCGAGGCGGTTAGGGGTGGGTATCCAGGGAAGGGTGATGCCGGGTTCTTTGCTCCCACAGCCAGGCCATGCTGAGTAGCACTCCCCTGGAATCCCGAGGCGGCCTCTGCTCACTTGACCCTCTCTCTAGACTCCCTCTGGAACTAGGACCCCACGGGTGTCCTGCCAGCCATGGTCTTACCTAAAGTACACAGTGACACATAAACATTTCTGTATGGATCTCCCTCAGCAGTGACAGGTGTGGGCATGAACTAATAGGCTGCCCATAGACCATTGTGACTGGAGGGACGGCTCAGCCCTGTGCACTCTGGTCTGTGTCCACGGTGTAGCCTGTGTTGGGCCTGGGCACCATGGCTCCATATGGGAAGCCAGGAACACCCAGCGCAAGGCCTGTTCCCTGGCATCCCTGGTCTGTACCCCTCTTGTGGCATTGTGTGCTACACACCACTGCCTAAGCTGCCGTCACAGCCACACAGGATCAGTCTCGGTGTCTTTATTTTTTTAAATGGAAGATCCGAAGAGTTCAGCAATTTTTGCCGACCTGTTCTCTAACAGCTCCCTAGGGAAATCCCGAAGACTCTTTGTATTTCACCTGTGGACTTTCAAGTATTTCACCGCTTTGGTTTCTTAAACAAACTACATATTTTCTAGACTGAATACAATGTGCTACATACTCAGTTAACCTTCACAAGGACCCTTTACAGAAAGGAAAACAGAGGCAGCGGGGACTTAGATCATTTGCTTCACGCCACACAGCTGGGAACTGCCCTAAGAAGGTGACTGCCTGCCCGCTGCGGAGTTGGTGCCTTTGACCAGTCTGATGATTCCCGTGGGCAGGGCAGCCGCAGGCAGGGCCTGGGATGAGGTGCACTTAGGTCTGTAGCCTGACTCTACCATTCCCTACACTCAGTATCAGGTGGTTTATTTGACTTCTCTGCACTCTGCAAAAGGGGTAGCAAGCCTGCCTGAAGGCCAGCGTTGATCCAGTGAGGGGTGAAAGCCAAGCCTCTGACAGCTGGCCTAGCACGCAGCATTCAGCACACACCGGCCACAGTTCCACTGAAGGAACTGTGAGTCCCGTGTACTGGAGAATGAGTGTTAGAGGTTAGGGATGCTCCCCAGTCAGTAAGGAATACTGAGAGACTCACAGCCCCCTCAGATCGCAGGGACCTCAATTTAGGAGTGATGCCTCACCCCACCTCAGGTGTCCATCTCCTGGAGACCAAGCCCTCCTGACCCCTGTCCCTTAATACCTGTCTGATCCTAGGTTTTGTTGGGGAATTAGAGGAGGCGTTGGCAGCCTTCACCTGCCTACTTCAGGTCGTCATGCGCTAGAGGGCCAGGGACAGCTATCTGGGGGTTGGGTATGTGCAGTGAAGGAAGTTGGCTCTGGAACGTTTTTTCCCCCTCTCCTATTTTTGCACAGAATTCTGGGGTTGCTAGGAATGATCCTGGCCATCTGGTATGAGCCCTTGAGAAGGCTCTGGTGTCTTATCCTAGAGGAGGATGTACTGTAAACCCACACGAGGACCTCAGGTCTCACTGGGAGGAGACGGGGCTGGGTTGCTCAGAAGAATAGCCTGGGCCCTCTTTGTGTGAAGTCTTAGGAACTCTGGAGTTGGGCCTCAACACAATACCTCAAGCAATAGCTTGCCCGTGACAAGACCGCTTAAGAACCTGCAGCCTCCGCTCTGCCTGCCGGCTCTGCCAGGAGGCCCGTATTTGACGACACACTGCCCCAGAAAAGCCAGGTGCTGCCGACTTGGCTTCATCTCTCGCTCTCTCCCCGCAGACACGGGCTTTGCCGTCACCGCCATCTCCCGGACGCCGGGGGTGACCTACAGCGACTCCTTTGACTTACAGTGCATCATCAAACCCCACTACCCGTCCCGAGTCCCCGTGTCGGTGACGTGGCGCTTCCAGCCAGTGGGCACAGTCGAGTTCCACGACCTGGTGACCTTCACACGGGACGGAGGGGTCCAGTGGGGAGACAGGTCGTCCACCTTCCGAACCCGGACCGCCATCGAGAAGGCCGAGTCCAGCAACAACGTCCGCCTGAGCATCAGCCGGGCCAGTGACACAGAGGCCGGCAAGTACCAGTGCGTGGCGGAGCTGTGGCGGAGGAACTACAACAATACCTGGACGAGGCTGGCGGAGAGGACCTCCAACCTGCTGGAGATTCGGGTGCTGCAGCCAGGTGGGTGCTCGGGCTGCTGGGCCCCCCTGCTGTAGGGCCCAGGTGGGTCTGCACGGCAGGGTGAGACACAGACACAGGCATGTGTGCTTATGTGATAGGAGACATGAGGATGTGTGCTCCTATGACACGAGATGCGGATGCTTGTTCTTACCTGACGTAGTGTAATGTGTGGAGGCATGCTCTGCCATGACATGTGAGCCGTGAGGATGTCTGCTTATGTGACATGGAAAGACATGAAGGGCATATGCTTGCCTGATGGGGAGACGTGAGGAGAGAAACTGAGCCCTGGCCCAGCATCTGTCTCCCACCTCTGAGAAACTCAGATCACCTGCGCTCCCTTTCCTTGGTGGACAGTTCATGTCTGCCGCATGTGTTTTCTCCCTGTGTGTATATTTTCCCTTCCTCCCCACTACCCCCCCCCTTTGTGCATTCCAGAGTAGGTGGGGGGCACTAGGACAATTGTGACCCCCTAAGAACAGGACACTGTCCTGCCAAATCGCAACCCCCATCCATAGTCCGACTCAGGAATTCATCATTGGTTCAGTCTCGTTTCTCAGCTGTGTTCTTCAGTGTAACTCCCGCCTCCAAGGAGACTTCAGTTGGGGAGCGCACGGCACTTAGAGTTGTATTGTCTCTTTGCACTCTGTTAATCTAGAACAGTTCCCAGCCTGGTGTGTGTGTGTGTGTGTGTGTGTGTGTGTGGACACTGACATTAAAATGTGGGCAGGCCACTCCAGTCTTTTATAATCCTGGCCGTAACTTTGTGTGGGGTCTCCTCATTCCCTGTTCAGGAACTCAGAGGAGAAAGGAGACAGAGGTGTTTGTTGAGCTTCTTTGTCCCCGATGGGAAGAACAGCCCTTTGATGGGAATTTCACATTCCCTGGAAGAATTAAAGGGGCTAGCCTGAGGTCGTGGGGCCGGTCACTGGAGGAACCATGTGGTCTTTTTCATGGTCTTTCCTTGTCTTGGAACCTGTCCTATGGGCTGAGTTTGAACTCCTTTCTCCTGGGAAGGCGGGTCACCCCGAAGGTGCTAACCTGGGGAGCATTCTGCAGCGGAGGTTCCTCCAGACACCTCCACCAGCCTTTCCACTGGCTTGAGGAGTAACGTGGCTGGCTAGGTTGGAAGCTGTTGGAGCAGATGAGCCCAATCTAGGATGCTGCACCCCTAGAATAGAAAAGCCCCCCGCCCCCCACAGCCAATGGCGGTGGTTAGAACTTACAAACTTTTTTTTTTCTGTATTTCTGTCCCACTCACTCACTCTCCCCTACTATGATTAGTGCCCAGCCTGGTCCCTTCAGAGGGCCGCACACAGATGGGGAAGTTTTCAGCAGTGTGAGGTTAGAAGGTGGTGAGGTCTGCGTTTATCCTTCCCCTTGCCCGACCCCGTCACAGAGGCCTCTGCTGTACCCCATTAGGAACAAAGGGTTTTATAGATGTTGAGACTCTGGCCAATTAGAGTTGAACTGGGCAAACCGGATGCTGAGGAAGAGGCTGTTCTTCAGTGGGTGTTCAGGTTAATGGAGGACTAAGTGGAGACCCCATTGGATGTGAGCTCGTGTGGAGGGTGTGGAAATACCCGCTGGCTGCCTTAGGAAGTAGAGTACTTAGGGATGGTAACTGTGCATTCTCCTTGTCTCCTCTGCCACTCGAGGTCAGTGTTGTGAGCAGCAGTACCTGTCCTGGTTTTGCAGCTTGGGAAGGAAGCAGGGACAGTGACCCCCAGACCTTGCTTGCCATTGCCCCGCTGAATAAGCCCCTGCTGTCTGCTTGCTTCTGTTACTACTTGGAATCTACTAGAACCAGAAGCACATGCGTGCACCTCATTCATTACAGTTCTCATTGTTTGGATTCTGATTCAAATTTATGGCGACTCTTTTGACTACTATGAGCCGTGACAAAGGTGCAGAGCTGAGACTCAGCCTGAGGTGAGAGCCCAGATCCCTTTGACTTCATATGTTCTGCCCTTCCCATCACCATCTTATCGGCTGTCATTGCTGTGGGCTTAGGACTGCCTTTGTGTCTCATACACACAGCATGGAGGGCTCCAGGGAGGGGCAAGTCCTGCTTTCCAAACTTGGACTGCCATTGAGAAGGCTGAATCCAGCAACAGCATCTGCCTGAGCGTCAACGTGCCACGGAGACTTTGCGGCTTCACTGGGAAGTGACCACAAGTCGTGGTTGGCACTGGGCACTTTTGAGCATTCCAAACTGCCACCATCTTCGGGAGCCTCCTGGGCCTGCTTGCAAAAGGTCATTCCACCTGGGCTTGTTGGCCATTGATTCTTCCCTCTTTGAAGGAGGGGTCAGGAAGGGTCATGGGACCCTCACCTGTGTATCCAGATGCCCCTCCCAACTAGTATCGCAGTTCTGCATTAATTGCAGGTGATCGCATGGGCAGGCCAGAGTACACAGGTGGGTGAAAGACTTAGGAGAGTGGGTTCCCTCTGCACAGCTGTGTCTCTGGACCATTGCTGCTGGGTGCACACCTTCCAATGTGGTTGCTGTGAAGTCGTCCCTGCTCCTGCCGATTAACCCCTCGCCTGCTGCTCTGTAAGTGAGCTGGATCAAGTCAGTGGTTTGCCCAGGTGAGCTTTGGCAGAATCGAGTTCTGCTTTGCTCTTGGGACCTGGAGGGGGTGAGGTGTTGCCTTGTCCTCCCTAGGGGAAGGTCCTGACAATAGCTGTCACAAGGCCTGTGCTTATGGGCAGACAGTAACACACGTGCTAGCCCTCTGGAGGCTGGGAAGAGCAAAGGTAGGCACCTGGAAGAGCGTGTGGCTCTCCACATGGCTGAGTGTCACTGCCTCCTGTGGTAATTATTTAGGCACTTATTACCGAACACTTTCCAAAGAGCTTCTTTTCCCTAAAGGCTCAGCCAGAACAGCTAGTCCGGGTGCTTTCACTGGGGGCTGGGAGACTGCGTACTGGAGGCAGTATTGGGTCCTTGGGGTGTGCTCTCTCACTGAGACTTTGTGGTAACTCCAGGAGGAAGGTATTTAGTTTCCATTTGATAAGTGGACAGTCAAACAGTGCCCCGCCCCCAACTTCGCCGCCATCAGCAAAGAGTGGGAGATTGGGATTTGAACCCAAGTATAAGTTGGCCTTAATGAAAAATGCTGGTAGTGGAGATAGTGCCCTTTTTTGAAACCATGTAATCACATCTTATTATGCACTCAACCTCGTGACATGGAGGATCTTTTTCCTTTCAGGTCCTTGGTGTGTGGAAACCACAGCAGTGATAGGATTAATAACAGTAGCAATGTGTGGCCGTCACCGTTGTAAACGCCTTGCTGCTGACAACTTACTTCATTCTCCTTTAGTCCATGCAGGGTCAGTGGGTGTGTGGGTGCCTGACAGAGCTCCCAGATGAGGACTCTGCCACCCAGGGTGAATAAGTTGCCCAGTGACTCATGATGAGTGGCAGGGCCAGGATTCAAGCCTCAACAGGCAGTCTGGCCCCAGAGCTCCATTTGTGATTTTATTATATTATGTGCTTTGTAGACAATGAGCCAAATTTATACTTGTTTGTGTTTTCTTCTCCCCTGGCATCCTTTGGTACAGTGTGTGTGTGTGTGTGTGTGTGTGTGTGTGTGTGTGTGTGTGTGTGTGTGTGTGTGTCTGTATGTGTTTGTGTGTGTGGAATGTGTATGTGTGT